CAATCTGTTGCACAAGCTTTTTTAATGGTTACTACCCCTTTAAACTGGAGCCAAGCAACTCATTTGTTATTAATTATGTTTGTTAATTATTCTAACATCTAAAACCTGTAAACAGCTGGTAGATTAAAATAGAAAATATTCAATAAATGTGCAGTTCTTTCTGTCTGGAATAATCTGTGCAATAATCTGAGAAAGAGGAATGATTACTAAATTGACTGAAAAGCTTACAAAATATCTGTTGAGTGACAGACTTTTTAATCCATTAGATGAGATAAACGTATACAGATATGCTTTTCATAGAATCATAGAATCATTTAGGTTGGAAAAGACCTTTAAGATCATCCAGTCCAACCATTAACCTAACATTACCAAGTCCACCACTAAACCAATTAAGGGTAGAGTAGCAATTTCATGTTTCCTGGCTTGGTGGCTGGATTATTTATAATGAAAGTAAAAACTAGGAATCATTAAGGTTGGAAAGGACCTCTAAGATCATCATTCCAATCATCAACCCAACAGCACCACGCCCTCTAAACCATATCCCCAAGTGCCACGCCTACCCGTTTTTTGAACACCTCCAGGAATGGTGACTCCACCACCTCTCTGGGCAGCCTGTTCCAATGCTTGACTAGCCTTTCTGTGAAGAAATTTTTCCTAATTTCCAACCTAAACCTCCCCTGGTGCAGCTTGAGCCCATTTCCTCTTGTCCTATCGCTAACTACTTGGGAGAAGAGACCAACACCCACCTCACTACAACCTCCTTTCAGGCAGTTGTAGAGAGCAATAAGATCTCCCCTCAACCTCCTCTTCTCCAGGCTAAACAGCCCCAGTTCCCTCAGCTGCTCCTCATAAGACCTGTGCTCCAGACCCTTCACCAGCTTCATTGCCCTTCTCTGGACACGCTCCAGCACCTCAATGTCCTTCTTGTAGTGAGGGGCCCAAAACTGGACACAGTATTCCAGATGCAGCCTCACCAGCATACGTGTTTAAAGAGGTAGCTAGTATTCTATTTATCTTTTCAGAAGCCTCTGGTATTTTCTGCTTCTCTGTTCATTTTTCAAATTCATTATTGTTGATATTGTGTTTATATTGTTTAATGTATTTTTAGTAATTTTGCTTTCTGTCTGGGTTTCTTTACATAGACTGCTGTGGAAAGGGTGCTATGTGTTTTTGAGCTAGTGTGTCTTTGCTCAATTCAGGTTGGTTTTAATTTTAGGTGAAGTTTATGAAGACCATGTTAATCAAAGCAATCTGATGGACTTTACTTTGAAAAATCAGGACATTAATGAAATGTATTCTCTTTTTTATATATATTTATAATAAATATTGCTCCAAAACAACTATTAAAGTCTAATTTGTTTGCAAAGTAGTCCAGAAAAGTCCTGGAATTTGAAAATAAATTTTGCCTGAATTTGCACTTCCTTTTCAAAATGCTTTCTTTAGATCAGAGAGATTGCAAAGGAATGCGAATGTAGCAATATTTGATTTACCCAGGACAACTATTGCCACAGGTCATGCAGTGTTCTTAGTTCAAGTTTCATATTGAAAGTCTGTGTGAGTTGTTTGAGAGGGTTTTTGCACAAGGGCTGGAAAATACTCCTACCCAAATTCGTAGTTTGTGCTTGACTTCTTGGAAGTTGCTACCAACATAATGACTGATGGCAAGAAAGCAGCTTGAGCTATTTCTAACGGAGGTCAAGTCACATATAAATATTAAATGATTAATTCCAGCTCTCCTGGTCTCTTACTGAAGGATTTGAAGGTATGCATTTAGTGCATGCTTTCTAATACAAAAAAAAAAACAAACTCCCAATTTTGGTGAGTATACATGGTGAGTGCATGATGTAATTAATATAGTTCTGAAGTACATCCTGTCAGCAGATTTATTCTTCTCAAGCTACTAAGAAACTGCATTAAAAAATAAAAGAATAATTAGATGTAGTCAGAAATACATCTATACACTATGACACTTGATGGTAACACGTAGTTTGACATCAGGGCAGGAGTGGTAAAGAACAATCAGAGCTGAAATAAAACTCAAAAAGAAGCATGTCTTAGTAATGATGAAGAGACTATCAGAAGATTATTTTTTGTGGGGTTTTTTTTTTTTTTTTTGTAGAAGTAAACAAGGGGGAGTTAAGAGGCCCCATTCTGCACAACAGAGAATAAAAATACAGTACAACTCAGAATTAAGGGACGAATAGAGCAGAGAAGCTCTCCCTGTGCTAAACAGCCTATTTTTTAAATCGTGGAATTCAGAGTTTGCTTTCTTATCTTGCAAACTGAAAGCACCTAATTTGAATGAGCTCTAATGAAAAGTACGTAGAATTAGAAAATTTCCTTTTCTCACCATTACAAAGAATTTTTTTTGAGTAAACTAACCATTTTTAACACATTTGAATGACAGAACTAGCTAGAGGGATCTTGTTCATTTCACTTATTCCTGTATTTTGAAAAAAAACATTGTTAAAAAGTGAATGTGTCTTAATCTGGCCGAGAGAAGTGCGTCCCTTCTTTGATAGTAGGGTAGTACCCTCTAGCGGACAGAAGCAATAATTTTTACTCAGATGTAATCATTCCTAGGAGGGTGCATACTTTAATAAGTAGTTGGAAAAAACGTGAACTTGTGGGCATAATCTTCCTTTAGCACTCAGCAGTATCGTTAAAGCTTGTCTACTTCCTCTGGCTACTTAGGCAAGCCAAAATAAAGTTATTGCATCTCACAATTAACATTCTTTTCTTTATATTGTCAAAATGCCATAGCTACACTTAAAAATTATACAGTTTTTGTTCTTGTAAGAAATCTTGTTCCTGATTTTTAAACAATTTTCTAAAATTATGCCTCTAATTTGATAGGTATTCCACTGACTGAAATTAAAACAGTGAGTGTTCAAGGGTATGTCTTTGTACAACTAAAGTAAAATTCACTTTTGTCATTGTTTAACCCCAGCCAGCAACTAAGCACCACACAGCCACTCACTCAATCCCTTGTGGTGGTATGGGGGAGAGAATCAGAAGGGTAGAAGTGAGAAAACACATGGTTTGATATAAAGACAGTTTAATAGGTAAAGCAAAAGCCACGCACACGAGCAAAGCAAAATCATGAATTGATTCACTACTTCCCATGGGCAGGCAGGTGTTCAGCCATCTCCAGGAAAGCAGGGCTCCATCACACGTGATGGTTACTTGGGAAGACAAACGCCATCACTCCAAACGTCCCCCCCTTCCTTCTTCTTCCCCTTAGTTTATATGTTGAACATGACATCATATGGTGTGGAATATCCCTTTGGTCAGTTGGGGTCAGCTGTCCCAGCTGTGTCCCCTCCCAACTTCTTGTGCACCCCCAGCCTGCTTGCTGGTGGGGTGGTGTGAGGGGGAGAAAAGACCTTGACTCTATGTAAGCACTGCTCAGCAATAATGAAAACATCCCTGTGTTATCGATGCTGTTTTCAGCACAAACCCAAACCATAGCCCCATACTAGCTACTATGAAGAAAATTAACTCTATCCCAGCCAAAACCAGCACAACTTTCTACACTTTGATGTGGAAGAATGAGTATTTAATCTGTGGTTGTGATCTCCACAGTTTAGTTCAGCAAGCCATAACTCCACATCCTTCGCAAGAGGTGAGATCCTAAATATTTTTCCTGTAGTCCCATTTTCAGGCGGCACCTGGACAATCCATAGGAAAGCTTCAGTGAGAATATTGCTGCTTTCTCAAACTTGTGGCCTTACATCTAAACTGGTGAGAAGACTTTTGTGCCAGCTCTCTGCTGAGTAATGAATCTACTCATCAAGAAATTTCATTCCCTGGTGGACATTTCTTCTCCCATTTATTTTCTATACAGAGGTTTCATTTCTTTGCGAAGGCTTCATTTCTCAGAAGTTGTTTTATTTATTCTTGATGAAGTCTCACCTTTCATGTTCAGATGTAAAACAGACTTCGTTGAATCTAATTAGCTAGACTGTTCAGACTCTGTTGCTCTGGGTAAAGCTTCAGCCTGTAAAATAAGTACATTTCAGTCACCCAAGCACAGAGAATTAGTCACTGAAATGAGGTCAATTATTATAAACAACAAAAAAAGTGTTTCTTAACAAAGATCATTTAATCTTTTATTAATGGCTTCCCAACCTTTGATTCTTTCCCCTTTAGTCTGATTTTTCTTATTCTCAAGCTATTGAGGAACTCCTTAATAAAATTAATTCAGACTCATTTCTTGTAATTCGTATGGTCTTGGCTGTATATTTCATGGACACTGAAGAAAGCCCAGGAAGGAGCTTTTGGGGAAGGACTGTATAATATTGAGCTAATGAGAAATACCAGACAACACCATCCACCCCCCAAATTGAGTTAAAATGCTTTGAAGCTAACAAAGGTCAAAGGGAATACCCAGAATTAATTACATCGCATAATAAGTAACTTGTCATAAGAAGTAATCTCATGGATAGGAGGAAACAAGTTTTGGAATATCAGGTGATCTCAGCCTAGAGAGAAAGTTTAGGAAATGTAAAGGTGAGGGGAGATTTGACAGAACTCGATCAAATGGCACACAAACTTCATGTCAGTGAGGTTGGTGGTGGCTGCAAAAGAAATAGATTGAAAGGAAACTCTACAGAGTGCACAAGGTTGTTCTCTGTGGTAATGGAAGGACAGGCATGGAGGAGCTCCTGCAGATGGAAGGGTAAGAGATGTCTGTGGTTAGAACGAGGGTACTAGTCTCATCTCAGTCTTTGTAACTAAAATCTATTTCATGAATTATGACTGTTCCGTGTGGTTTCTTGGTACTTGCTTGACTATTCTTATGTCTTTCTGAATGTCTATTCATATTCCTGCAAAATGTAGATTCTTGGCAGTTCCCCATTTTGTGATGATTAAATAGAAAACATATGATTGTTTGATCACAAATGTCCCCAGGATTTCTTGCCACATTTTCTGTTGTAAAATTATTTTGGCGTTTGTAACGTGCTTCAGTGACCAGTATTTTTATTTACAATTTTTAGCTTGTGAAGAACCTCCTCCTAGGAGGGTTAAAGAAGTGCCTACTGGAAGATGGGATGAACCTCCCTATCCACATGGTACTCAAGTAACGTACAGATGTCGGCCTGGATATATAAAACTTGGACAAATTGTGTTTCAGTGTGCTGATGGAGCATGGAAGCAACACCCCCCAGGGGCAGAATGCAAAAGTAAGTATTTATGCAAAATATGCACAAACATTTGACCTGACAGATCACATTCCTTGCCAGTGATGTCAATATGAAATTGCCATTTTATCTTTACCTGTAACTTATTTCAGCATCCTTTAAAATACCATCCTAAAAAGTATGTATGCATAAGGAGACATTTTTGGAAGTTCCTTTTCTCCAGATCAAAGGTTTTTGTTTTTTTTTCTTTACAGGAGATGATCTTACTCTAGGCCATCCTTATTAACCAAATTTAAGTTAAGTTATTAAGTTATTAAGTTATTAGGACCTTGCTTCCAAATTTTAGAAAAAGTCTAATGCAGATGAAATTTACAGTCTAACCAGAATAAAGCACTAACCTAGCTTGTGAATGTGAGTCAAGAGACAGTATTGTCTTCTTTTCAGTTTATTCAACTATTCTATGTAAGATATAATTTCTTGGAAGTGGGAAATTATTTTTCCCTGCCTTCTCTTTTAATCCATGAAGGAAAATTCATTATTAGGATGAGAGCTGCTATTTATCTCTAGTACACTGTGTTAAGGTTTAGAAGTATCTCACACCCTCATACAGAATTCATCAGTGAAGAAATTGAAGTTTATTATTGTTAGTCAGCAGATACTTCTTTTCTGTAATAAGTGAGTTTTAAACACAAAGAAATCTTATAGACATGAGCTTTTTTTCTTACGTATCTAACATTCAAACTTTTTACTAGTAGAATATAAATGTTTGGTTTGATAATATAAAATTAAGTCCCAGGTGTCTGTATCCCATCAAACAGAGATGAATACCAATCATGAGTAAAAATGAATTAATAAAGTTGTTAGAAGTTTCTTTTACATTTTTTATTTAGTCACCATCTCAGTTTTTGTATGTATTTGTATTTTGCATAACTACTTAGTGAACATGGATCTTTCAAACTGTACAAAATTTGGTGTTGCTTTTTAGTAACATATTTTAGTAAATACAGCCACCCAGTGAATAGATGCTGACACTGGCAAGGTGCAGGTGGAAGGAGAAAAGGGATGGTCTGCCACAGGTTAAGTAATCATGTGCCCTTTTCAGGATAGGCCACACTAGACAGCGAAATTTATCATGAGGTTGTCCGTTTTCCCTGAATCACACTGGAGCAGGTTTAGGGCCTACGCAAACACCTCTTCCTTGGAAAAAATGAGGATGTTGATACACCCCAGGAAATTAAATTGCCTAGGTCAACAGGTAAAGGAAAGATTTCGTCTGAAGCAGCCTAATAGGTTTTAGCTATGCAGTTTATTTTGCAGCCCCTATTATAACAACAAAAGTGGATGAATGAGAGGGATGGTGTGTTCATCCTTGCAACTCTTTTGGGAATCCAGGGCAAATAGTTAAGGCCAGACCACAAGAAAAGTCCTATGGGGAACTTTGAGCAGAAAGGACTAGGGACCAAAGGACTCCTGTGGCCTTAGATCATCCCTCTTTAACTCAGCACAATCCCCATCAAATTAAGGAAATTTCATTTCCAGTCATGGATGGATTCTGTAGTGGAAGCTTTGGACCAGTTTATGTCAGAAGTTTTACGAAAAGCTGAAGTTACATTGTGCCATTAAATTTGTCATAAAACTTAAGATGAGCTCAGCCTTTTTAAAGGAATAAAACCTGATAATTTGTTATTTATTTTTTTTAAAAAAAACAGCCGATCCTTACTCCAATATGTTCTCATTGAAGATAGTGATTAAAAAAGGGGTTGTTAATCAAGCTAATGCTGAGCATTTTTGAATTTTTGAAAGGCCCATACTCACTACTAATTTCTAGAAAAGTGCTATCTTTCACACTTTCACATTCCTATGTATGGTGTAAGTAATTTTTTTTTTCTTTTCTTTATTTTTTACCAGATAAGCCCTGTGGACATCCTGGAGATACTGAGTTTGGTTCCTTTGAACTTACCAGTGGAACTGAATTTGTATTTGGTGCCAGAGTTGAGTACAGATGTAATGATGGGTAATAACTTATTTAATTCAATATATGGAATTTAACATCAGGTGTTAATATTAAAAGAAGCACCAGTTATAGCTTTGTTGTCTGTAATGCAGCGGCAACTTACTAACATTTAATGCTTGGTTATTGTTTAATTTAAACTTCTGCAATTGCAGTAATACTAAAGATAACTCTTTTTCATGTCTGGTGCAATTGGAGTAACTGAACTCATGCACCTGAAGCTGTCATCCAAAGCGTCTAAAATACATAAGGCTGTCACTAACTTGACATCATGGCTGTCCGAGTAGTAAACAAAAATAGTGATCTGTCTGTAAAGCTGCCTCAGGACTCCACCAGCCAGCCAGTTCAGATGGAAATGCAGCTTTGTATGCTGGAACCAGTGCTCTCAGTAGGCAGTCATGATGCAGTTACGTTAGCGAAGTCATTAGGCCATACAACCAAGTCTCCTATTCAGAACCACAAGTCATCTGTCCTGCTTAAATCATTATTGTGCATTATGAAGTAAAATGTATTGTAAAAAATGTTTGAAGGAATACATTTCTGGTAGACTCACTAACTCATCTTCACTGACTGCTTGGAAGAAATTCTTCTCTATTCCTCCTCCATTCATCTTCTCCAGTGAAAACTGCAGCAAGGCAAATATATATAGTGTTGTGCTTAGTTAAGTGTGCCTATGACTGGATTCTTACCTCTTGAAACACAAATCATCTATAAGCGTGGTACAGTGGTTTAGCCATGCTTTTGTAGTCTTTGTGATGTGGGAATCTAGTCTGAGTTCCACAAAAACAGTTCCAAAATCAACATTCTCCTTAATCCCTTAAATTCAGACAGTTCTTCACTGTTTTTTCAGACTAGCTCTACTTCCTCAGACTACATTTCAGACAAAGCAGAAGGCATGGCATTGTGGCCATGTTGCCCTCAAACCTAAGATAATGCTAGTTCATCAAAGCATGAGATACATATTGTTTGGATTAAGTCCTATTTTGATGCTGTCACATGGCTTTCAGTCATACCAGAGCACAGGCAACAGTTTTACCCTGCTTGCTATTGATTGTCTAAATTACCCCTAGGTTATTTGTTATGTAGCCAAACCTTGTTGTCTCTGTAATGAAGAAGCCATCTTACCAATTACTTCCTACTTTCTGATTTTTTTCAAATTTTTTTGCCATATGCAATTAAAAGAAACAAAATAGAATCATAGAATCATAGAATCGTCTAGGTTGGAAAAGACCTTTAAGATCATCCAGTCCAACCATTAACCTACACTACCAAGCCCACCTAAACCAATCAAGGGTAGACTAGACTAAACCATATCCCGAAGTGCCACATCTACCTGTTTTTTGAACACTTCCAGGGATGGGGACTCCACCACCTCTCTGGGCAGCCTGTTCCAATTCTTGACCACCCTTTCCGTAAAGAAATTTTTCCTAATTTCCAACCTAAACCTCCCCTGGCGCAGCTTGGGCCCATTTCCTCTCGTCCTATCGCTAGCTACTTGGGAGAAGAGCGAAATAGGGAAGATGCAGGCCAAAAAACTACTCAGTTTTGCCATGTTTTGGTTTGTCTGTGCTAGAACATATGAAAACTTCCTTTCCTTCAAAAACAGCAGCACTGCTGTTTCTGTCACATAATGAAATTGTATTTTAGCATTGTTTGCTTTTTATTTGGTAAGATACCAGATGCTCAGCCAGAGAAATTACCGTGAGTGTCGGGCAGATGGATGGAGCAATGACATCCCTCACTGTGAAGGTAAATGGAGTTTGACATTTAATTCTCTATCAAATTGTCTTTTTATCTGTCTGATACTACCTGGAACTAGTCTGTGATCTCCCTACTAGTATTAATTCACATATGTTTAAGTCCAAGTTATACAGCAGTGAAACTCTTACAATGACTGCTCAGCCATTTTAGTCCAATAAGCACTCAAGCTTTTGTTAAAAAGCATTCACAAAATGGAGTCTTGTCACCCCCAGACTGGCTTAAAGCTCTGCCTCACCTAAAGGCCCTGATAGAGTAGATGTCTGCAAAACATGGTTACCGAAGACAGCTGAGATGAGGTATTTCGGATGTATGTGAAAGCCTGTGTGGTTTTAGCTAGTTTCCTCCTCCACCCTTGTGAATATCCTAGCCATTAAGATTTTGTTTTAAGTTCTCCCTATTGGCATACTGTAGAAGAACTTCAGTGAGTAAGAATGAGAGCAAGAAAGACCCAGACCTCAAGACTTAATAGACTGGATCGCTCAGGTGATAATTCCCTGATTTTTCAAACCCTTTCACCAGTTTCAAACTTGTATGATTATGAAAATAAGCTTCCTTTCTTCCCAAAGATATTTTTCACTGGTCTGTTTTAACACATGTGCACAGCAGTGAAATTTCTCTTTAGATTAAGCATCTAATGTTAAGAAAGGATCTTTAAGTAAAGAATCACAAATAAAAGTGGATATCTTTCTCTTGTCTAGAGTTTGTTGTCTGTGTTTTGACATTTCCTTGGTCTCTGATATTTCACGTTTAGTTTACTGGATTTTGAATGTCCTCCATTTTAGACATACAGGTTTCTGCACCATATAGAGCACAGTATAGAGCAATGGTTTCTAACATTTTTTGTCACATGTCACCAAGATACTGCAATTTCAAAGTCCTCGTAAGAATTTTCTTTCATGATTGAGGAGCTTTCATTAGGCTGAAATATGATTGCCTATGGAAGAAAGTATTTGTATAATGCCCTAATTGTGAGGAACCTAGACAACAGAATGTGAGGTCATAGAAAAAGCAGATGGCTTATAAGATGGAGAATGTTGACAGAGAGAAGTGGGAGCTATGGTAGGCAGTACACCAGCCACTTTCGTACATGCTCAGTGATATCTATGTGGAACATTTAAGAATGAGCTTTGGTAGTCATTTCCCCCTTAACAAGAAATGTCTGATGACATACGTTAATTCTTCCTTTTTTCTGTAGTTACAAAGTTAGGAGATACAATAGGTCTAAATTCATGGCTGACACTGTGTTTGTTTGCTTTAGTAATATAATTGTTCTGGTATCCTTAACTAGGAATTTTATTTAGTAACTGAACTGTTGTAGTTAGTCTATAACACAGCACTTTTCCAGATATTTGTCCATAGCAAATTCAGTTTGGCATAGCTCTAAAGTAAATTAATATATTTTGACAAAGTTTAATGGCCCTATGTGTCAGTCAAGGCTCATCTAACCATCCATAGAATTCATAGGATCACAGGATAATTTAGATTGGGCGAGACCTCAGGAGGTCATCTAGTTCAGTGGGCGTTCTGTCTTTAGCCTTCATGGGTAGAGAAGAGGATGATGAGAGCCAGTCTACAAGCTCCCTCCTATGTCAGTCTGTCTTTTTACTTAGGGTTTTGTATTATATCTAGGCTTTTTTGTATTATATCTGTTGCAAATGGTATCTGAATACATAACAAGAGTGTATATTTTTAAAATGTGTAAGGAAATTACAGTGAGTTTTCTGTATTTTAACTTTTTTGTGTGACAATTTATTTTACAGAATAGACTCAAAATGGCTGTTTTTTTCCTTTCCTTTTGTTCTGTTTTGTTTTGTTTTCCAGTGGCAAAGTGTTTACCTGTACAAGCACCAGAAAATGGAAGAATAATTGTGACTGGTGCATTTGAGCTAGGCCAAGAATATTCCTTTGGCCAGGTTGTAAATTTTGAATGTAATGCAAAATACAGGCTTGTTGGATCTAAAGAAATAATTTGCTCTTCTAATGGAAAATGGAATAGTGATGTACCTCAGTGCCAAGGTAAAAAGGACACTATTTATTATCTGTAATTAAGAAGCTTTATTCTTACAGACTTATAAGGACTGGTTACCATATAGGAAGCTACAAAGCTTTCACTTTATTCCACAGCAGTTAAGCATAGTTTGTCTGTAAACAATCTCCATTGCATATATGCAGAAGAAATAGGATAAGAAAGAGAAATAAGAGAATATTGGATGCTAATATACTCATAATGGACCATCTGTTTGTTCCACATTTTCACTACAAGCTGTATGTTTTGCAAGGCTGCAGTCAATTTCTTTGAAACTAGCTTTGGTATGTCTACATACAATTCAATCACTTCAGTGTTGATTTAACCAAAGTAATTATAAATAATTTTGAAGCTATGTGAACCAAATTTAAAAAAACAAGTATGATTTTAATTCACTCATGTTCTTAGTGTATATAAAATACAAAGAAAACATGATGGATTTTTCTTTTTTCAGACTAATGTGTTTCGACGAGTTAGAAGGTTGTATGAGGTTTAACAAGGCCAAGTGCCAGGTCCTGCAC